AACCGCCACCACCACAACCACCAACACCACCGCCACCATCACAACCACCATCACAGCCATCACCACCACCACCACCACCACCACCGCCACCACCACCACCACCACTACCACCACCAACTCCACCACAATTACCACAAACAACCCCCCTCCCCCGCTATCGCCACCACCACCATCACCACCATCCCCACCACTATCACCCCGTCACCATCACCACCACCAACATCACCACAACCAACATCACCACCACCACCACCACTATTACCACTATTACCTCCACCACCATCACCACCAATACTACTATCACCTCCACCACCATCATCACCATCACCACCACCAACATCACCACAACCAACATCACCACCACCACTATCACCTCCGCCACCACCACCACTACTACCACTATTACCTCCACCACCATCACCACCAATACTACTATCACCTCCACCACCATCACCACCATCACCACCACTATCACCTCCACCACCATCACCACCACCACCATCACCACCATCACCACAACCACCATAACCATCACCTCCACCATCATCATCATCACCACCACCACCACCATTATCACCTCCACCACCATCATCATCATCACCACCACCACCATCACCACCACTATCACCTCCACCACCATAAGCATCACCACCACCACCATCACCACCATCACCACTATCACCTCCACCACCATCACCACCACCACCACTATCACCTCCACCACCATCATCATCATCACCACCACCACCACAACCATCATCATCATCACCACCACCGCCACCATCACAACCACCACCACAGCCACCACCACCACCACCACCACCACCACCACCACCACCACCACCACCACCACCACCACCACCACCACCACCACAACCACCACCACAACCACCACCATCACCACCAAAACCATCACCACCACCACAACCATTACCACCATCACAACCACCATCACCACCACCACCACCACTACCATCACCACCACCATCACCACCATCACCACCACCACCACAACCATTACCACCACTATCACCACCATCACCACCATCACCACCACCACCATCACCATCACCACCACCACAACCACCACCACACCACTATCACCACCACCACAATCACCATCACCACCACCACAATCACCATCACCACCACCACAATCATTACCACCACCACCACAATCATTACCACCACCACCACCACCACCACCACCACCACCACCACCACCACCACCACCACCACCACCACCATTACCACCACCACCACCACCACCACCATTACCACCACCACCACCACCACCACCACCACCACAACCATCACCATCACCACCACAACCATCACCATCACCACCACCATCAACACTACCACCATTACCATCACCACCTGCGTACGTCATTATGCTATTGGAAATTCACCACCACCAAACGTTAAGTAGGTTTTCAATTTAGCAGGAAAAACAGAAAAATGTTTCTGCGTTATTTTGGAGTCATTTTTCCTCTTTGAATTTAAATTTATTTTATTTCAAATAAATATTGACAAATGTATTAAATACTAGTTTTCAAGACTTATCACAGTCTTTTTTTATTTACATATTCCTCTATATTACATTATAACTCTTTCGGTTAATTAATGGCGGCGTTCAGTCTGTTATAGAAACTACATTTGTACATCTGTGTTAACAGTTCAACACTCTGCTGGTGACACCGAGCTTTGTCCGAGGGATAACCATTGATCCGGCGGGAGATTTTCTGATTGCCTGTATAGTTCCAAACCTCACTAACCAGCCGGAAGTGGATTGTGGTAGTCATGGCGCATGTGTAATCCGCTATTTTATCCAACGACATTGTGTGACATGTCCGAGAAATGCAGAAAGTGGTTGTTCACAATTTTTGAGCAACCCCAACCGTGGAAGCAGACGACCAAGATGTATTTGTTCTCAGAATATCCATTGCGTCAAGGGTTCAAAAGTCACACGAGAAAATCTCTTTCAATATCCTTTCCGGGTTGTAGCGAGTACAAACGGAGACATCGCTGTGTCGGACCATGGCAACAAAACGGTGTGGCTTCTATCTAACACGGGAACACTACTGGGTTCGTACAATCAGTCCTACCTACGAATATATACAAACCACGGCCTCACATTTGACACCAACAATGACTTACTAATAGTCCAATCCGGCCTGAGAAATATAATCCGGATACGCCGTTATGTGGATGGTTCCACTTCTGTAAAGAAATATGCAGTATCAGAACTTGAATCACAGACAGTAACGGCCGCGGCGGTGGATTCTAGGGGGTCACTGATTGTAGTGATGGGTAGGGCTTTGATTAAAGTTCTTCTCAAGAAATCAAGTAACGGCCTAAAACGTTAACTTAAACATTGTACTTGTGTGTCTCTGAGCATTGTTCAAAACCTCTCTCTACTACTGATACACATACAGGATTTTTTGAGGTGTTCAAATTTCCGCACATTTACAAAGCAAAAAGTGTGTTTTCAAGGAAGTATAGAATCGTGCTTGTTTCCCTAATATTAAATTTCAATGTCCTCATTGTCGCGATTTCATTCCATCTTCGTAAAAATATATATTAGAGAAAATATATATCTTGTGCAGGATAGAAATCCACTTCAATACATATCATTATATAAAATTGTCACATATGAGTAAGTAGTTACTTTATAATAGTTTCTCAAATTTATACCAGCGTTTGTCTACTTTGTATTGAAGTCAATGCAACTTTTCGCTGTTTACACATCCGCAGTGAGACTGTTCCGTGTCCTCGCTCGGAGATGATATGTCATATATTCGTAAGTCGAATGCAGTGTACAGTTGAATAGTTTCGTTCCGATACCAAATATTCGTTATGAATTACAGTGTGGCAAAAATATTGATATTTTGAAAAAATTGAGAGAGTCGTCTATCCCAAGTTAAAAAAACAACTGTTCATTTCTTTAAACATAAATAATCCAATTTGTAAGAAAACCACTAGATAGTTTGAACAAAAGATACGCAAGTGAACCGCACCTTTTAATACAAATTTATATTCAGATACAGTAGAGCAAAACATTACTTAAACTGCATCAAATAGCTGTCTCGCCCTTCCAGGACTCGTCTGTGTTATTATGAATTCTTCTATAACACTTGTTGTTCATCACTCTGTACACCGAAACACGTCTTTTCTCTTGATTTGAGGGCATTCTTTTCAAAGAAAGTTAAACGACAGTACAAACATTATTGTATGGTTGTGAGCTATACCGTATTTTGTGAAAATACCTCCAAGTGAAAATAGAAATACATGGATGACGAGGTCATGAAAAATCATCGAATTTCTTGTTGACAATATCTAAGTCGAGTTTGGTGACAACATCTTCCAATATTGGAAAACAAACTGTGCCCCTATCCTGACTGACTTGCTTCTTGTGTTTGAATAGCTGATCAAAACAGGCCACATGGACCATGTAAAGCCTTTCAATATCACTGTAAGATATATTGATGATGTCTTTAAATTCATTGACCATTGTTCATTGTATATACTGTCGGCTTTATGGCTTGGCTTCACCATGAGAGGATTTGTTGAAATAAAAAATAAACCATTTAAATTTTCTCTCCGATGAACATGCTTCCATTTTTATTTTTTGTTTTCTTTCTTCCTTCCCCATTTTTAGAGAGTTCTCCCAAGGGAGCTTAACATATGCATTTTCATAACGTAAGTTGTGAGTTGTCTCCCTTCCACAACCCATTATATCCATAACAATACCTTCCTGTCCAGATTACACATACTCTGCTATATCAGCTCTATATCAGCCGCGTATCTCGTTTTTTCCTTACAATGAAATATGGGCAACTATCTACCAACCTGTATGACAACCATAATGATTTCAGTTTTCTTATTGTGATTTTACCATTTCTGGGTAGAAACAATCCGGCATACCGAACCTATTGTCCAATCTGATTCAATATTCTATAACATATTACTATTTGCTTTTGCAAGGTGGCGTCAACTGACAGCCAAGGTCACATAACGGGGTTTCGAGAGGTTCAGACTGACGAAGATTATGAGGAAGTTTTACAGTTGTTATAATGATCGCATTGAGATCTATTCTATTCCTTGGTACGATATGAAGTTTGAAATATTTAATGCTTCTTAGTTTGTATTGCGGCCCTGTTCTTATTTACCTTGTTCTTATTTGGGAACATGGCATTTACGTGGATCGACCAAGATTATGATGGCGGTGTCTGCGATGAAGCAGAAAACGCTTTCTCTTCCGGAAGACCTGGTTTTATTGTACTTTTACAGTAGCCTCCGTGTAAAATCTTTTTTGTTCGGTGTTAGAATAGAATTTGTTTGTTAATGTGTCATTAACTTTGTTTCATACATTTAAATGGTAAATGTCATTGATAAAACTTTATCAGATGTAGTACAGAAATGTAAACCACACATTCAGAGTTATGAGAGACTATACGTACATCAGTACATGCCATATTGTTAATGATTAACAAGTGTGATAACATCAATTCACCTCATAAATGTAAATGGTGAGCATTCTTTTTTTCATCTTTACATCCCTCTCCCTTACGTGTAACAGCTCCCCCGTCCATGACGAGTAGAAATCTATCTTGAACCAGAAATCGTTTTAAGTAACCATAAATGGCTAAAAGACTTGATGTAAACACATATCAGTAAAGGTAGTGAAATATTTCCCCTGATAACAAGGCTCGAGTGTGATATCAAAAGGAATTTAAATCTATGTCATTGTTTGCTAATACATAACAATTCAATTATATGTTGTGAGCCGCGGTGGTCGATTTGTTAAGGCCTCTGACCGTCTTTATCACTCGCAATCCTTATCTGGATCGCGGGTTTGAAACCAACATGGGGCAGTTCCAAAGTACACCCAAACCTGACACGTCCTCAAATGTCCTGGTTGTTAATAGGACGTAAAAGAGTAATGCTAACCTAACCAGTTATATGCTGCGCACGTCATTATGCTACTAAATACTTGTGTATATAGTTTAATTGATTATTGCCTGTAAATTTTAACAAATACTTGTGTATATAATTTAATTGATTTTTACCTGTAAATTTTAACAAATACTTGTGTATATAATTTAATTGATTATTACCTGTAAATTTTAACAAATACTTATGTATATAATTTAATTGATTATTACCTGTGAATTTTAACAAATACTTGTGTATATAATTTAATTGATTATTACCTGCAAATTTTAACAAATACTTGTGTATATAATTCAATTGATTATTACCTGTAAATTTTAACAAATACTTGTGTATATCATTTAATTGAATATTACCTGTAAATTTTAACAAATACTTGTGTATATAATTTAATTGATTATTACCTGTAAATTTTAACAAATACTTGTGTATATAATTTAATTGATTATTACCTGCAAATTTTAACAAATACTTGTGTATATAATTCAATTGATTATTACCTGTAAATTTTAACAAATACTTGTGTATATCATTTAATTGAATATTACCTGTAAATTTTAACAAATACTTGTGTATATAATTTAATTGATTATTACCTGTAAATTTTAACAAATACTTATGTATATAATTTAATTAATTATTACCTGTAAATTTTAACAAATTGCCCCGTTTTAATTTTAATTCTAAATTGAAATTGACCGTATAGATGATAGTTGATTAGTAGATTGACCTATGTAAATTTAAACTGATTTTTATTTCTGAATTGTAATTGACCATATAACTGATAATTGATTGTCCTATGTAATTAGATCTGATGTTTATTTCTGAATTGTAATTGACCATATAACTGATAATTGATTGTCAATTTAAACTGATTTTTGTTTCCATGTTAGAATTATAAGTAATTGACAGCGTAGTCTTTATTGTACATATACTTATCAACCACTGTAAGTGCAGATATATTGCTCTGTGTATTATCATACCTATGTAGTATACATGTATATGTGCTGAGAAGCCCACATCTCAACTTTAATTAACTCAATTTTCCTAATAAAAAAATCATCCATTTACATTATTACAATATAATTAAGGCGTTGGTTTTGTGTAATAAAGAAGTTTTCTTCGTGTGTACGTCACATATTTTTTGTTTTTATGAATCATACGACTAGTTGTGTAGTTTGATAATACATTGTGATGTAAGTTACTACAAGAATAAAACAATGAATGTATAACTCGTATCCAGACATTTAGATCCCTTTTTTATTCGTCATTTGGTTAAAGAAAGTGCTCTAAATTAATGGTGTTTACTTCCCTAAGTAAGCCGGTCCTATTCAAATGTTAATTATGTACACGACAAATTCAACAAACATTGAATAAAAACAATCTTTGAGGAAATAGAAAGTCCGGGCTAGGATGTGGCCTTTACCGCGACATATGTTGTTTCGATACATGTGATGATACATGACTCAAAAGGCAAAAACATTTCGCAGCGACGTAGTCTTTTGTCACGCAAGTTCGTGTAAATTTTTTACTACTGTATACTATTGAATATTTTTTCTCCAACAATTTCATTTCAAACTGACCGTTTCATAGCTTCATATTCCTGTGAATGACACTGGCTCGACAACGTTTGTTATGTCTTTCTCTAAACAAAATGGAAAAGGATCTTCTGATAATGATAACCACCCACCACCGATTCCTCCGGGACATTTTAACACTCAAATAACGCTCCCCGAAAACCAGTGTCGAAATGAACAATTCAAAATCTGGTATGTATACTCTTTTTATACTGATAAATAACATTTTAAATGACTAACAACCGGATTAGCAATGCATTGTGTAAACATGTACAAGATATCATACTGTGACAATTTTCCAGGAGGAAATATTATTGGCCATTACCGGAATACTATATTTCTTGATGTAGACATCCACTTGAAAAGTGTCCCTCAGGTTCACATATATCATAGGTCTACGGGCAGTAATCAGTATATTACATTTCTATTCCTAGTTCATCTACATAATCATTGGTTATGAAGGCGTTTGTCTTTGAAGAACTACTAACAAATCTAGATCTAACTTAGTCAGCTCTAAACACGAAAAATGCAGAATTACATCGCTGTCTTTCATTTAGATCTGTTTCACTTATCACAATAACATTCTAAATAGGAACAGCATATACTTCCGCTTCTTGATAAAATAGTGAACTTAATACAGTGGAGCCAAATAATGAAACAAACTTCATCATACAGCTGTTTTGTTCTTACAGGACTCATCAGTGATAGTGAGTGCCTAACTTTTGATATAGGCAGCGCCTGAAGTAAACCATATTTATTCAAAAGAAATGTCCTAAATGGAAATGTTCACTGGTCCCATAATTCAATAATTGTTATCTTTCTATATCTTATGAATAAGGCCGTTAAGTACATGTGTATAATTCGGAGACTGCCATTAGCAGTGTCTACTACCTGCAGTCTCGAAGGCAATACAAAGGACATAAAAGTGAATTGCATCGTTCATTACAAATATAAGATTAGATACAGAAAAACCTAATAATGTGTTAAGCTGCATCATAAAGCTATTTCGTCCTCCTAGGACTCGAATATCATTCTACGGGCCAAATTTTGAAGAAATTAGGGTTGTTTAAACGAAGTTTCAACATTTTAATGGAAAGGTGTATAAGCATAACGAAGCTCGAAACAGCCTTGTTTGTATACTATAAAACCTCAGAATAACCAACATATATTTAACATATGGAAAAGGACCAGGTGGTCTGGAAGAGTAAGCAGTTTTCTACTTTAACAGTCGCCATGTTAATCTTGGTCAATACAGTTAATTATGTTACGTTGAAAATATGTTTATTAAGAAGATATACTTGATTGAGTAAAATGACAACGTGATATTTACTGAAGGTAATAAACGTACCTTTGACATAACTTTACAGTGTTACAAGTTATACAAACGACAACTTACAAAATTAATCAACTGTTTAATTTGTGTTCATTTGTATCCTTTATATTGATCTTTGCCGTAACTTTACACGGTTACAATGTGCAATAGAAAAGTGTACAAAACTGGTAGATAACGTCGAATATGTAATATACGTAAAGCATGGTTAGTCGTGATTATAGTGGACAGCTGACAGATATACTAACAAAAAAGAAATTAGAGATATTATGATTGATGCTTGGACTTGTGCCATCGTGATCCAGTTGGAGATATATGCTTTAGCGATAAGGAGATATACAAAAGAAAGTCATATGTATTCGACGTCCATTGCATTTGTTATAAAGCTAGCCTCATCTGAAAACATTACTTTCTTCTGTTGACAAATATCTACAGGGCTGATGTCGTCGATGAATACACTTACGTTTCCAGAACACTTCTCTAAATTTGCATTTAGATAAGCCAGACCTGTCGGTATGCCCTTGTCGTTTTGGACTCGGTGTGACAATTGAACATAACATAGGTTTGATTCCTTGAAGCATGAATATGTTTTATAACCTGAAGGTAAAATAATGTAGAACATGGTTCGTGTGTAAAACACAAGAAGTTTATTAAAATTAAGTATTTTTAAGGGCTTTTCGTGAGAGCTTCAAAACATTACAGAACGAAGATATAAACATTTGCTTTATCCAAAGGTTCCTCTTTTCATCTATTTTCACTGTAAGAGGTTACAACGACGATGAAAACCAGAAATTATCACAGACAATTTTGACGGGCTTTTCACCTATTTCGGCCTGTAATTAAAGGCAATGCCTGCAATATATTGGCAGACTGTATGAAATCAAAGTAAAAAAGGAATCATCAGTAGTAAGAGATCAAAGCACTGAGTGTACTTTGCTATTATCAGAATTGTGGTAATTAGGTCATGACGGCCATATTGGAATTTTACCTACTTAAAAACACGGAATTAAACGTTCAGATGTACTTCTATAACGCACTATATATGTTGCGTGCCTATCCCTTACCGTTTAAAAGATTACGAACCCATAAGTTCGGGAGAAGAATAATAGTAAGAAAAAAAAACCAACAAAAACAATAGGTTGTTTAACCTTTTGGTGAAAAGCCCTAATAAACCATCAATGGCGAAGATTGTGTAAATGCACACAAGTTAATAGCACTTTATACAATTTTGAATTCGATACAGTAGAGCCAAATGATTAATTAAACTGCATCAAACAGATGTCCTCCTAGGACTCATCATTGATCCTAAGGGCCTAAAATTTAAAACGTAATTGGCGATCGAGGAAAATCCAAAGTGATCGAATGAAATATATGAGGGAAATACATATTTTATAGAAAATAATTTGCATATTTTGTGATTTTATTTCTTCCAGGATGTCTGACCTTTTGAAACCTACAACTTGTACCGATCAGGATGTCACAGATGTAGTAGAAAACAGCGTTGCCAGCAGCGTTGCAGAGTGTCCCTTTTTTGACCTAAATGACAATTCTGACACCACGAAGCAAACAAATAGCTCTCACTCTCTTGATAAGTATCTTCAAGGAGATTTCTTTCAGTCTTCTTTTGATGATATGAGCTCTGAGACAAAACCTAAGGATTATACAGGAATTTTTAGTGATGATATTAATGATATGGACGAAGCCTCAACATCACATTCAGCAACTCCAAATTTAGTGACGGCAGATCATCTAGGATCCACGGTATATCCGAGAATTGCAAAATCGCCATCATTAAGTTACAGCTTGAACGAGTCAGGAAGATTAGAATGTCCAAGAGCACTAAATTGCTACTTCCGGTCCGACAGTATTTTTAACGTTATCAATGAAAACAATGAAACTTGTTCCCTAAACCAAGCGGAAAACTCAAAAACTGAAGATATGGATTTTGAGGAACATGACAATGACCCATTTGAAGCTAGAGATGATTCTGCACCTGAATCGCCCAGCTACGTGGAAAATTATCATGTTTCTGGTGCAAACCAGATATACTTAGAAAAACTCAAGGAACTAGAACGAGAAATCAACCAATTGGAAATACTTCAGAAACATCAAACCAGGCGTGAAGAGGGCAAAGCAACGGGAGTTTCAGACACTGGTCGTCGGAAGTTGTCTACTCAAAGATCTGTCAGTGAAAGTGATGTTTATGATTTAGTGAATGGTGAAGAAATAGAATCAAATTCTTATCTCAATACAGAGAATTCAATCCAAAATAAAAAATGTGACTTGATAAAAATATCACGTACTGAGGACATCAAAATGCCGCGTTCTAATGACGGGTTTGGAATTAAAAGATGGTCAAGTTTCAAAAACATCAAAACGGTTTGGAAACGACTTACCAAAACTGAATCCAAAGCTCTGCAGATAAATATTAATGAAGACAGTAGGACGAACGTTTCATGCCCTTGTGATGGAGCATGTCAACGCGTGGGGTCGCTAGTAACAACACTGGGAGGATTTATATGGATAGCTTTCTCTCAATGTTCTTGGATGGGACAAGTGGATTGTCTGGCTGTCTCTAAAATCGGTGTACTCTACGTGTCCTGTCCCTCACAGAGGAGAATCCTTATGGTAGGAACAGATCTAGAGGTAGGTGTTGACTAATGATTGTACCAAATATACACCGTTTAGTACACATTTAGCACAGATTACGTCAAACTAAGGATTATACTGCATACACAATTGTTTTGTCACTAAAACGAAAATGCAAATCAAAGCACGGGATGTGATGAACAATAGATAAGTCGAAAGTTTTTGAAAAATGTGTCGTGTCAGCTGCTACCGTCGATATCGGAGGGGGACTGTCCTCATTCTAAGTATTTGTATGTATACTTGTATATGTTAAAAAGTGTGTAGTTAATTACCCCCCCCCCCCCTTTCTCTCTCTCTCCCTCCCCCCTCTCTCTCTCCTATATATATAGATATATATGTATGTAACATCTTGTAAATATGTGTATTGTTTTATTTTTTGGGTAAGGGCTTAAGATAAGTTAGCAAAAGGGCCCAAATCCCATTTGTACTTATTTGACAAAATAAATATGTTTAAATCTTAATGTTTTGTCATTGTAAAAGTCGGTATCTTTAGATAATTTTAAAAGAACGGAAAGATATGTACATTTATATATTTTGAACTGTTTCAGTACTTTCTATTAATTGGATATGTGGCTACAACGCAATTGGTTGAATCCTTCATTGAGGAAACATTAGTTAAAACATACATACATCTATAAATGTTCGTATACATACCAAAAGCTAATGTTGGTATTCCTCGGTTCAACATGTGGGTCAGGGTTCGATTCCCAAAAAGAGGTAATTATGATCTGGCCATTTTCCCAACCACTTGGCTGCGGTCAAGTGCTCCACATTCACATCATTATCGTTAGGCCTTGAAAACGTGAATAACGATAATATTTACCTTGATTATGAAATTATCATAACAGATAAATTATTGATAGGTTAATAATTTATTATTGTTATTTACATTATGAAATCAAACAGATTGACCATAAGTGCAGAAGATAAATCAGTCTTACTAACCATCAATGTATCACACCTATTTACTTTTGTGTCTTTTGTACAACCTATAAAGTTGCGACCAAATGTGTTATTCTATTCTCTTGTGTGTCATTTTTAACAACTTTTTTGGTAGTGGTATTTTTGCTGGTGAATGCGTCAGGTCGACTGCATCTTACTATCATTTGGTCCACGTCACTGTTTTTTCTACGTTCGCTCAATCATTTTCACTGAGTTTCATCATGCTCACCATTGAGCTAATGGAAATATAGTAATATATTTGTGCGTCCATACATACAAAGGTAGTTTACAAAGATATCTTTGTTACTCTGAACATCTTTACTTTATGTTCACACCATAACGTCAAGTTATACACTTCATGAGAGTTTGATGGCCATTGGTCAAGGTTGGAGGGAAATGGTTACTCTTGACGTGTTTGAAGTAATTTTTGTTGTGTAAATCTCATGAATGAAGTTACAGATTAAGATAATATTCTCACCACCAAAACAGTGAGGCGTATATCTGTGCGACCTGTGTTTTTTATTGCAAACATTCATTCAAAATTTTACATTTCAATTTTTTGGATTTGTTTCTGAGGAGGTGCGTGTGTATTTGTGTGTGTGTGTGTGTTCGTATGTTGACCTGACTTTGAGAATTTGTAGTACCAACAAAATCCAATTATAATATTATAAATTATATATGTAAATAATAATAATAAATAATATTATTATGTATTGGCATAACATTAACACATTTAGGCCTCGAATTTCATCAACCTTAACGGTTCTTTTACATTTAAGCAGGCATGCGATATGCAGAAGGCATACTTTATGTTTCCATCCACGATATAGCATGCCTGCTAAATTTGCTTTGAATGTTTCTCAATTTTGTGAATCACTTCACCATAAAGCACTTGATTATAAACTATAAAACTCTCAACAGATCTTCCAAAAGTGTTAAATCTGTCTTTACATGATAAGTATAATTTTATGATTTTCCCTCGAGAGCAATTTGAAATTTTCAGATGTATTCATAGATAGACCAAACAAGCGGTTTCCTTCCTTTTTCTAAATCAGTTTTATGATAAATACTTCCTCGTAATCACGAGATAAAAGGTGAAGGTTGTTGTGCTATTGAAATGTACGTCACGGAGCCTAAACAGAATATTCTACTTGTTGTTTTATAAGAACTTGTCTTGATATTACCAGCCTGAATAAATATTAGAAATAATATAAACTGTATGACGTTTTTGCCGGGCTATTACGGTTTTTTTTTTTAAATTTTTGTTATTTAATGTTGATTATATACCTTGGGATTGTAATATGATCTGATTGCAACCAACAGCATTTAAAAAAGAATGGGAAGCATCAACTTTGTGCGGGGTTATTATGTTTTCTAAAATGTTGTTATTAAATGTTTATTTTATATCTTGGGATTATAATATGATCTTAATGCAACCAACAGCATTAAAAACAATGGAAAGCATCTTCTTAAGGGTATATGTAATGTCTGACCTACCTCTGTTAATGGGTTGTTTCTTTTCTTCAGGTGTCGACACTTGCCGCCCTTCAAAGTCTGTATCCGCGTGGTCTTGCTGTATCGCCGGTCGATGGTGCTATAATTGCCTGTATGACAACACAAAAAGGTGGATGCGAAATGAATGCTCAGTCTCAAAAGAGTTGCCTGATGCGATTCAAAGGAGAGACACAGAAACCATCTGGGAAAATTATCAGCCAACAATATTGTTTTGGGTACCCTTTGAAAATAGTCATTAATTGCGACGGATTTTTATTGGTGTCCGATTTTGGTTTGCGATGTCTTTTTATTTTGGATAAAGATGGTAATATGTTGAGAACACTTTCCAGATTAGGAGGCTCTCCTCTGGACCGTGTGCACTCTCTTGTATGTAACCCAGGTAACTCATTCTTCGTTGTTCAAGGAGGAGCGGGGAGACTTTCCATCACACGTCTGAAGGAGTTGGAAGGTCATTCAGGGATATTTGAGGAGGAATCTACTACAACGAAAGACGAACCTTTTATCGATCAAACCATTTTTACGTCTTCAAGGAATGACACCGGACATATAGTTGTAGCCAACGGACAAACAATCTTCTATGTTTCACTGGTAGGTTAAGGAGAGCTGATTTGTTGATTTGCTTAGACTTTGAATACATGTATATGTATCTGTGTAATGAAGGACGATATTCTACATAAACATCCAGAATATACATATTCACTACTCTGGTAAACCTGCGACTGAACAGATCCATTTTGAAACGTTAGAAACAGAAAGTAAGAAACAAACAGGCGTTGATACGATATATTGATAAACACGTGCGTGTTCACGTGAAAGTAAGTTAAAAATAGTAGTTTTAAGTTGTAGAAACAAAGTAGGGTTTTGAAAGTAATAATGCTGAAAAATAGGTATTGTTACATCGTAGGCGTAAACATAAGATTGATAACGAAAACAATTTTTTTCAAAACGGGTTAATTACGTAATGCGAGCAAAATAGATTTTGTACTGTCATGGGCGTAAGAAAGTATGCGTTGTTATGTTATAAACACAAATAAATTATGTTACCTTTAGGTAGCTGTACAAAAGTCACAGAAGTGGAATACACCGAAACAGTAGAGAAAATGACGAATTAATCAAAACAACCAAGCTAATTTATCCTTCTAGGACTTCCCAGTTATACCGATGACTTAAATTTATGAGAAAACAATAGTGTAAGCGGACAAGAAATATTCTAGTGATATTGGTTTATCTTATATTACGTGGTTCATCGTTATCGTATTTTTTATCACAAGTGCCTTAATTTACTTCAAGTTTAGATTTATTTGGCAACTAAACTGAGACGATTAACTTGAAAGAAATAGTATTATAAGGAAATCTCTCTGCATGCGAAGTGAGGGCAAGTATTGATGAGAGACTGAAATTTGTTCCTGTTCTGGTGATAGTGCGTAACTTATGCCAACTTTATAGAGTTATCGTACTGTAGTATACTGCCAAAGGCAATTAGAAGGACATCCACCGACTAAAAGAATTAATAGCGATGGACCATGCATTCATGAGTTCTACTTTTCTATTAGTTTTTAATAAATCTGCAAAGACATTTTTAATGGAATTATCTCGATTGCTGTATTTTACTTGCCTGTGATTATTTTTTTTTGTAATTTTATTTGTAAATAATGGATACCATCATATTGTTTTCTGGACAATATGTAAGAAGAGCATATTGCTCAATATGTTATCAAGAATAAATAAAGCCAATTATTATTACTATTGTTATTATTATTATTAATATTACTCTTTTTATTAAAGGTATGTGTGAAAAGCTAGACATGTTCTAAGGAGTGTTTATAGATAGACTCTAGATCTCAATGTCTAAAATGAAAACTGTAGCATATCCATTAGGAAAATAGTTTGCTGTTGCCGGAACAATAGAAGGAAGGAAAACAGACTTGTGATTTTGATCTTCAGTGGCAACGTGATAGACAGAATGAATTTAATCAACTCTGAAAGTGAATCCAACAAATCATGCTTTTGTTTCACTGACCCTTTTGTGTAATTTTTATATATCTTGAAACTCACGTGCCATAACCCTTTTGTGTAATTTTATTTATTTTGAAATTCACGTGCCAATTAATTGACGGGATATCACGGTATTTTGGACCCTTAGTGAAACGATAATGTAACATGAACTTTAGGATAACGTTTAGCTCGCAATTTACACCTGTAAGGAGAGGCAGTAAAAGAACACGTGGAAGGAGAAGTGGTTCTTAGGTAATCTACAATCTATTACTTCATTAATTTGTTTAAAATTGAAAAGCTTTGACGCAATGAGCTTGGAGTAAATGGAACAGCAACATTTTTAACTGGAAGTATTTTGGAATTGTGGAATCTTAGCTTCGACAGATACTAGGGCAGAATATCAGTCGTGCTTGTTACATCTACTCCCTTTGACAAGTTTTATTGTAAACGTGACCATATCGTAAACACCATTTGTTGTCTCCATTGTACGTTGGGTAAACATTTCCCGATTCTTCCTATTTTTACATTGAGATTTACATTATTTTTCTATGTTTTTCAAACATACTTGATATTAATTGAATAAAAAGATAACTATGTGAATAAAACTTCCACCCAGATTTTTATTCACGTTTTTATGTTATCCTAGTATTCACAGTTGATTTCCAATGTCCAGCTTGAATACTTCTTTGGTTTGGGAAACCTCTCTCCAATTTAGCGCTGATTACGTAACGTAATAGTTTTGGAAACGGGACAGTTCATTTTGTAAACACGAACACATGATGGCCGGCAGAAATGACAGCGACGGCAGTGACACACAGAGTAAATTGCCGTTTTTCAGCACCAGCTTTTGTTTAGGGTGTGGCAATTGGTATTTGATAACTCTAAGTCTATACCGAATTACAAAATAAGTGAAATTAATAGCCAACATTGTCATATCTCATATGACGCAAAAATACACATCAAGACAGTTGATCAACAAATAAGGATTTCGTTTTTATAAATATTTATCAATATGAATTCAAATAATTAAGATATTTTAGTCAACATCGTACACACTTGTGTATTTACCAAATTTTCGCCTGTCCAAACTGATCACAGGAGAGATAATTTGATGCTAAAAACAGTTTTAAAAGTCATGAAAACGAATTCTTAACAAGTACAGAACAGCCAAAAATGTTGCAACTTGAGCGGAAGATCACTTTACAGCGAAGAGTTTACATAGTGACAGACAGAGATGGAAAAGATGACACCACAAATATATTAGCACAAACACCTTATCTCCAGATAACCACTAACAGTCTGTAGGATTGTACTGAAACGAAATGTGAAAGATATCCCAGGAAATCGTTATAACAACCTCTTTCACTGCAAAATCAAAGATGACTGTCAGCTACAGATAACGTAAACCTAATGCTTGATAAAAATGACTTAATTAATGAAAATCCACACACGGAAGGTGAAAGCGACTCATATAAAATCGTGTAATGATATCACGTTTCAATCGGTTAAGATCAAGCACACCTCGCTTAGCTCGTGTCCGTCTCTACAAACCGCAATTAATATACGTTTACTACGTATGACACACTCATTTTTACTTTGGGGAAGACGGCTATGCTTTTGATGTAAAGGTAATAATTACGGCGTTATTCTTCAGTGTACAGACGAAATCTTGTGTTGTCAAAATGTATCTTGGAAAATATTTCTGAAGACAGCGCTTACCTGGAACTATATGATCAGCAAATGTTCAGAGAAACAGACCATGTTTGTTAGCATGTACCAGCACGTTGAAAACGACGGCGCCCAAGATAGTTTAATTTTCCCGGACCTTCCACCACCACCTCCGCCAAGGAAGAAATTGATCAATGTAAAGAATGGACCAGTCTTTGCGAGCACTACGGATACCATTAACTGCAAGTACGGATTATTCGTTTTTATCTAGAAATTAAATATGAACTAATGCTACTATATATTATTTAAAATGATAAGATAACTAATGTTTCGGCAACAGTGTTTCAGTAAATTGGGCTGTTGCCTTGTGTTACGTTGTATCAGTGTTTCGTAGCGATGACATATTTTTATATATATTTTATCAATGACGTCGTTGATAACGATGACGCTAAATTTATATATCTTAATATCTCTTAAAACGACGTAGTTATCTCTTTAAAATGATGTAGTTATCTCTTAACTAACTCTTAAAAACGACGTAGATATTTTTAAAATGCATATGTATATCATAATAACAATAGAACTACATTTGTATATCTTAATACTGATACAGCTATCTCTTAATAAGGCATAAGTTTACCTTAATTACTACAAATCAATCTCTGAATAAAGACACACTAATAATACCACATTTATCTTTTGATTACGGAGTAACTTTCTCTAACATAATTTTATCTCTTAATAACATCGTATCTATCTCTTAATAACATCGTTCTATCTCTTAATAACATCGTATCTATCTCTTAATAACATCTTATCTATCTCTTAATAACATCTTATCTATCTCTTGATAACATCGTATCTATTGCCCCAATGTAAATCAACCTCGATTGTACGTACAGAAAGTAAGCAAAAAGCAATATGATTGAAAAGTCAATTATTTTTCACATTTTACAGACAGGAAGGTTCGGACACAGTTTCCATCGATCTTATCACATTTGACGACGACATACGATCAGAAAACGCAGCACCGGATGCGATTGGTTTCAATTGTTTGGGGGATTCTATAGGCAGTAAATTAAACAATCAAAGAGAAGAAAATGTCTTATTGACAGATGTTACTGAGACCCAAATCACACAAACGTTAGAGGCATTACGTCATAATTCACAAAATTTATTTTGTAAAGATGATTTGTTTAAATTTTCTTTCGACCTCCATCAGAATGAAGCTACAATGGACAAGCTCCACTTTAGTATTTTTTCATCGGAGGAAGGTAACATGCTGCATATGAATAAGAATATCTCCATGAATCCTTATATTCCTTCATCCGAACCAGGAAAACAGACATATTCATCCCCTAAACAATGGTCACATACTAATCCATTTCTATCAGAAATATTAGCAGAAAGGTCGCAGTTATATCTTGTTAAGAACAGTGCTGAACTGAACCAAAATATACACGAACGAAATAAGGCGGACGACATTTTCCAATCGCTTTGTGACCTGAGTAACAATGGAGATGATACGAGGTATTCAGACGAGGCTCATTTTAAGGCTAATGATGCCATTTTTTCTTCAAATGAGGGTATGAATTCTGAACAGAAACATTATGCTGTAGGTGGTAGGTCATCACAAAATCCTTTTCAAACAGAAGGGGCTGACCATGTTACCCAAAATCATTTTCCCAGAAGTTGTGGACACTGTCTCCAAGATTATCAAGAGGAAAAAATGATATCATCAATCAATTCCAAAGCCTCCGATATTCAACATGAAGCCCGATGGTATGGTTCGGATTCTGAAGAATATGATGATGTGATTCAATTCAGCAGGGACACGTGGCCGAAAGTTGATGTTAGCATGGACATGGATCCTCATAAACAACGTTCTTTTGAAACAGAGCATAGCAAATGTTTCATCGATGGTACTTCATCCGAACATACAGAAGACGAGAAGGAAGACCGATTATTTCATTACCAAGATATTTATCAAT